GATATTAGAATAAAAAAACAGAAAAAGTGAGTCCAAGAACCGAATGCAAGACTTTAAAAAAGTTTGAAACTTGATGAAGGAATCAAAGACCCAGAAGAGACGAATACCCTTGCAGCGAATGACTTGACCGGCGGTGCTCATAGCTACGATGATGATTTGTTGATCGCTTCTGTAATAGTGTGTGTAATGCAGTGAATGAAGAATTGATGCTAGGGAGGGGTGCTATTTATAGTCGGTTGGAACTTGGAAGGAGAAAACAGCTGCACAAGGTAGTGGGGCGTAAGGGGCAAAAACTTTAATAAGTTTGTGGCTTTTAGCCCTTTAATAAGTTTGTGACTTTTAGTCCATCAACTTATATTATAATATTTTTAGTCCTTTATTTTAATAAATTTGTAAGTGTTAACCTCTCACCTTATATTATGATACTTTTAACGTCTCATCTATATGAGTTGAAAAAAATAACCTTATTTTAGGTCATATTATAATATTCTGTTAATTCTGTTTATTGACTGTTAATTCTATTAGTTAACTGTTACTCTGTTAGCATCTATTAGTATTTTATTATATAAAATATGAAATTTAAATTTAATTTTATTTGTTAGTTTTATTAACGAAATATTAACGAAACATTAATAATTAACTAATAGAATTAATAGTCAGCTAATAAAACTAATAAAATGTTAAATTTGACTTTAAATAAAAATTATTTTTTTCAACTCGTATAAGTAAGAGGTTAAAAGTATCATATAAGTTGAATGGTTAAAATTTATAAATTTATTAAGATAAAAAATTAAAAATATTATAATATAAAATGAGAAATTAAAACTTATAAATGTATTAAGATAAAGGACTAAAAAGTAAATTTTAGCCGGCGTAAGGGTAGTGGTTTGTGGAATAAGCAGCTTCCCGTGCAATCCAGTGAGCGGTTTTGGGTTCCGTGGTGCTACGCTGTATTTTAATTTCCACGGGCGCCTCCCTGTTTTTACTGTTTAAAAGGCCCTGTTTTAACTTTTTCCTTTTAAACAACAACGCGGTATTCAAGTCAAGCTCAATAATCTGTTATTGTCTCCAATTTTTATTCCATCAAAATGGTTCGTTCCCAAGCCCTTGTAATCCACGGCCAAAAGAAAACATTAAAAAAAAAAAAAATCCTCGCACTATAGTCTTAAATCTGTAATGTTATATTTACAAAACCCAAAAGGTGTGTATTTTTTTTAAAATTATTGTGAAGAATTACATTTTAATTTTAAAAAAATATTAATATAAAAAATTGATATTTATTTGTCTTATTTTTAAAAAATATATATTAATATAATTTGTTATTTTAAGTTTTTATTTTACAAAAATTAACTTAAATTTAATAGTTAGTTTTAATTTTTTTTTGTTAA